GTAGTAGTAGTAGTGGTAGTAGTAGTAGTAGTAGTAGCAGTAGTAGTTGTTGTTGTTGTTGTTGTTGTTGGTGGTGCTGGTGTTGTTGTTGTCGTGGGCGTGGCACTGCTGGTACTGCTGAGGCTGCTGTCGCTGCTGGTGCTACTTGGTGCCTTGTGGTCGGTCTCTTGACCCTGGTCTCCATGGCCATGGTTGAGCACCGACAGGGTGTCCAGCTGATCTTCCACTCGCCATGGTGGCGCTGGGGCTGCTGCGCACTGTGGCGCTGCTGCTGCGCTGGGGCTGCTGCGCGCTGTGGTGGTTGCTGAGGATGTGCGCAGCGTCCAGCACGCGGAAGAGGGTCCTGGCGTTGGCCCTCTTCTCCCGCTGGCGCCTGTGCCAGGCGGGCTCGCCCTCTCGGGGCGTGGCGGCTCTGCGCCGCCGCGGCTGCGGCGCCGATGGCGCGCTGCGCGCGGCCACGAGCGGCGGGGGCGACCGACGGGACGACGGCCCCGCCCCTCCTCAGCCCGTGGCTCTCCTCCTCCTCCTCCTCCTCCTCCTCCTCCTCCTCCTCCTCCTCCTCCTCCTCCTCCGCCTCCTCCGACTCATCCTCGTATCCTCCTTTGGGCGGGAGCTGGGCGGGAGCTGAGCGGGAGCTGAGTGGGAGTTGCGCTGGGCGATTCAAACCACTGAGGGTCCGATTTGGCAGCTAGTTGGGGCGTGATCTGGGCGGGGGCTGAACGAGAGCTGCAATTGGAAATACGGACCCCTGAAGGTCTGGTTTCGCAGCTAGTCGGGGCGGAAGCTGGGCGGTGGCTGAGCGGGAGCTGGGCGGGAGCTGCGTCGGAAAACTCTGGCCCCTGAGGGTCCGATGTTGCAGCTAGCTGGGGCGGGAGCTGGGCGGGAGCTGAACCGGGAGCTGAGCGGGAGCTGAGCGGGAGCTGTGCGGGAGCTGCATTGGGAACTTCTGACCCCTGAAGGTCCGATGTTGCAGCTAGCTGGGGCGGGAGCTGAGCGGGAGCTTCATTAGGGAATTCGGACCCCTTGGGGTCCGATTTCGCAGCTAGCTGGGGCGGGAGCTGGGCGGGGGCTGAGCAAGGACTGAGCGGGAGCTGCAGAATTCTGTCGTTTTGTGTCCAAGTTTGCAGCTAGCTGGGGCGGGAGCTGGGCGGGAGCTGAGCTGGAGCTGAGCGGGAGCTGCATTGGAAAATTCAAACCCCTGATGGTTCGATGTTGCAGCTAGCTGGGGCGGGAGCTCGGCGGGAGCTGCGCGGGAGCTGCATTGGGAAGTTCGGACCCCTGAGGGTCCGATGTTGCAGCTAGTCGGGGCGGGAGCTGGGCGGGAGCTGGGCGGGAGCGGAGCGGGAGCTGCGCTGGGAAATTCTGGCCCCTGAGGGTCCGATTCCGCAGCTAGCTGGGGCGGGAGCTGGGCGGGAGCTGGGCGGGAACTGAGCGGGAGCTGAGCGGGAGCTGAGCGGGAGCTGAGCGGGAGCTGCATTGGGAAATTCTGACCGCTGAGGGTCCGATTTTGCCTACGCTGGGAAATTCGGACTTCAGCGGGTCCGACGTTGCAGCCAGCTGGGGCGGGAGCTGAGCGGGAGCTGAGCGGGAGCTGCATTGGGCAAATCGGACCCCTTGATTTGGCAGCTAGCTGGAGCGGGAGCTGGGTGGGAGCTGGGCGGGAGCTGGAGGATTATTTGGTTTTGTGTGTGTGTGTGTGTGTGTGTGTGTGTGTGTGTGTGTGTGTGTGTGTGTGTGTGTGTGGTGTGTGTGTGTGTGGTGTGTGTGTGTTGTGTGTGTGTGTGTGTGTGGTGTGTGGTGTGTGTGTGTGTGTGTGTGTGTGTGTGTGTGTGTGTGTGTGTGTGTGTGTGTGAGTGGGTGTGTTGTGTGTGTGTGTGTGTGTGTGTGGGTGTGTGTGTGTGTGGTGTGTGTGTGAGTGTGTGTGTGTGTGTTGAGTGTGTGTGTGGTGGTGTGTGTGTGTGTGTGTGTGTGTGTGTGTGTGTGTGTTGTGTGGTGTGGTTGTGGGTGTGTGTGTGTTGTGTGTGGGTGTGTGGTGAGTGTGTGTGTGTGTGTGTGGTGTGGTGTGTGTGTGTGTGTGTGTGTGTGTGTGTGTGTGTGTGTGTGTGTGTGTGTGTGTGTGTGTGTGTGTGTGTGTGTGTGTGTGTGTGTGTGTGTGTGTGTGTGTGTGTGTGTGTGTGTGTGTGTGTGTGTGTGTGTGTGTGTGTGTGCAAACACGTTCTCTGACGCGAGAACTTACGCGGCAGCTGACGCAAACACTTACGCAGGCAGCTTACGCAGCTATGTCAGGGCAATTGAACCATGTTTTGTGCATCGCTCATTTGGAATGCAACCAACTTCCCCGTTGGAACCCAATACAGGCCCATGCGTGTGTTTGTGCTTGTGTTTGTTTGTCGCGCGTTTGTGCATGTGGAGGTTCTTGCGCTTGTGCTTTGCGTCAGGACCTCAGAAACACGTCCTGGCAGAGAGAGAGGAGGAGAGAGATGATTTGTCCTTTCGTTTAGAAGAAAGGAGAAGAAACACCAGAGAACCAGGGAGAGCCAAGACCACCGGTCTCCCGCCCGTCTGCGATACTGGCGTGGAGAAGCTGCTTCAAAAGCATGTAGAGGCACACTTGTCGTCGACCCTTGCCTGATCAAAACTGCACCCAAACTTCTCGCACCATGTGACGATCGGGGGACAGGACAATTCCTGGGGGTACCTGTTGGCAGGCCAGCTTCTACTCGATGTGCTGCACACCGATCCATGTGACGTGGCCGTGACAACTCATGGGAGCCTCCCATACCATTGCGAATCGACGCTACTCGACGCTAGCCGACACTAATGGACGCTAAACCGACGCTAATCGACGCTAAATCGGCGCTACCTCATCGACTCCCAGACGCTAATCAACGCTAAAGGCAGACTTACGAGGGTGCGCAAAGCTCTCATGATTTGCTACTGAAGACCCCCGGTAAAAATCTTGAGGACGCTCTCTGTACGACCATTCAATAGCAATGCCCTCCGATACAACACTGGCCAGGGCAGTCCGGTGCAGAACCTGCTGGAAAGTCAGATGGGGACCGCAGGGCCCTGCAGCGTAATGGTTAACTGCTACGGCGAACACATCCACAAGGAGCTATCGTGAACTAGGTGCAAAAGGGGCTACAGTCAACCCGTATCATGAGAATGCGCGGTAAGGCTGCAGGGGCTTTGGACGCCATGTTAACGTTGTTCGAACGAGGTCGGCCAGCGAACGTCGCTCAGGATGGACCGACGAGGCAAGAATGCAAGGGTACCCTTGGGAAGGTTGCTCATCCTTACTCTGCGGGTGGACTGTATCCCTGGGTCTCTCGCTGGATGTAAAGACACAAGCGTTCAGCGGAGCTCGTGCACCAAGCTCGGGCCAGCCGTGCTCCTTCGAGCTGCTGGCGGGCAACAGCATCCCGTCGCACACGGCCCATCCCGCAGGCTGTAATTAGCGGACGAAGAACGGCATGGCATGAACTTGTTGTACGATCGGGGACGCCTGTCCCAAGGCGGCTGGGAAGTTCATACTTTGTGCCTTGTGGTGGCAGGTGGACGTACAAACTTTCCAGCCGCCCTGTGACAGGCGTCCTCGATCGCGGAGCAGCTGATATTGAATCGCTTCTCTCACTCCGCTGGCCCATGTTCTATCAGTGGTGCTATGTGTTGGTGTGCTCGAGGCGAGCGGGGAGAAGGAAGATGGGAGGATGAAGATGAGGCTTCTCGATGGCTCATTGAATGTCCTTGGAGCCAAACTGGGTCGTGGACAAGACGCCTCTTTAGGAGGCTTATTGGAGTCTCTTGGGAGGCCTCTCGGCGGCCCCTTGGTTGTATTGGGGACCTCCAGGGGCATCAGCTCGGGGGCCTTTTTGGGCCCTCTCGAAGGGTGTCTTGGGGGCCTGCCGGCGGCAGTCTCAGGGGCCATCTTTCGGGGAAGGGCTCGACATGTCAGTTCGGATTCCCCCTCTTGGGGCCCTCTTGGGAGGGAGCCTGCGGAGCCCTCTTGGGAGGCCTCTTGGGCCGTCTTGGGGCCGGCCCTCTTAGGCTGTCTTGGGGCCATCCTGGGAGCCTCTTGGTCTGACTTGGGCCGACCTTGGCGGCCACTTGGGCAGCCTTGGGCGGTGGTCCGAAGCCCGAAAAGGCGGTGCCGCCAAAACCCTTCCAGAACCCAACAGAACATCACTGAAGCTGAGCCTCTGGGGGCCCAATTGGGCCTGTCTGGGGCCCATCTCGGGGCTACCCTCTTGGGATTGTTTTCGAGTCATCTTGAGGCCTGCCGCCTATTGATCCCGACACTTGGGCCCTTTTGGAGCTCCCTTGGGGTCCCTTGGGGCGCTCGCGGGCCGATTTTGAAGGCTCCGAATACCGCCCCCAGGAGTTCCGGCATCCGTGACACCGACCGCGCGGGAGTTGCCCAGGAGTTGGCCGGAGCCCGCCAGGGGTACTTTTCGTCCCGGGACCCTCGAGGCCCGCCACGCGCGCGCGAACCGGACATGCGATTCACCTGTTACCGGAGATTGTCTAGCACCCCGGGCTCCACCTGCTCCGGCCGCCTGAGGCCCCGCCTTCCTGTGCCCTGTCTCCTTAATTAAAGCTGCGCGTAGCCCGCCTAGCTTTTGGCGGAAGAGGCTCGCTCTCGCCCCGCAGACCAAAAAACTGTTACCGGAGATTGTAGCACACCTCTGGCCCGTCGGGCCGGCGAGCTACGCCGCTCGTCGCCCGCGAATGGAGGCCGATCCTTTGCGCAACCCTTCTGCGCGCCCGCCATCCGCTTCGCTGCGCGGGTCACGGGTCGGAGGATCACGCCGCATCGGCGATGCATCGCCGATACATCGACGATGCATCGGCGACGTCGGCGGAGCTTCGGCGACGCCAGCGCGGAGAAAATCGCGTTGCACATCCCGCCGCACAGGCGATGCATCGGCGTTGCGGAGCGATCCCCCGACCCCATCTACTCCTACCCCACCTATAGGAGGCCTGGAGCTTCGCTGCGCGGGTCACCAGTTCATGTCCGCCACCCACGAGCGCATGGCGCCGTGCACCGCCTCCCGCCTCTCACGCTTGGCGGTGCGCCACAGCGTCGGCCTCGCCGCCACCAGGGTGCTGGGCGGCCCCTCGGGAGCTGGCTCGAAGTGCAGACGCGGCGCCACGGTGAGCATCAGCTGCCGGGCCAGCGCCCTCGAGACCGCCGGCGCGGCCTCCTGCAGGCGTGCCTGCAGCGCAGGGCGGTCCACTCCAGAGGGGGCCTCGTAGAGCACGCGCGCCTGGCCCTGCAGGCCACCGCCAGGCCCCTGGACGAGCAGCACGCGCAGCGCGCCGCCGCAGAGGGTCTCCCGCACGCTCGGCGGTGGACGCAGCGCCAGCATGCGCTCCAGGTGCAGCCCCAACGAGTCGGCCGTGCGAGCCTCGCGGATCTCCGCCAGCTCGCGTGCCGGGTCCACGGTGAGGGAGTCGAAGACAGCCTGCACGCTGGCAGGGTGCAGCTCCTCCACCTCTACGGGTTCTTGCCTCGGCTGGCTCATCAGGGCGATCCTCCTGTTGAGCTCGCGCTGCCTGTACAGCCACTTCAGGATGCGGTCCTGACCAGATGGGCATCAAAAGCCACTGTCTGAGGGAAAATCCGCCGACCCTGTCGGCGTGTGTGAGGGGCTGTGCCGTCGTCGTCGTCGTCGTCGTTGCAGTGCTCTAGCGGGCTTGAGGGAAATCGACCCGTGTCGCAACCACGTCAAAGGAAAGCCCCTTCCCTTTGTCCATGGGGGGTCCCGGGGGGGGGTCGCCACCCAGATACGCTTTCACTCCCCGCGCGTCCGGCGCGGTCCCCGCGCGGTTCAGGAACCCCGCGCGGCCCCCCAGTTTTCAGAATGGCCCTGGAGGCCGAAAACGACGAAAGACTGAACATGTAGAACAACTCCCCCTCCTCCTCCTCCTCCTCCTCCTCCTCCTCCTCCTCCTCCTCCTCCCTCCCTCCCCTCCCATCCTCCCTCCCCACAACCTCCCATAACCCTCCCTCCCTTTCCCCCCCTCCCGTGTCCCTCAACCCTCCCTCCCTCACACACACACCTCCCCATCCCTCTCCTCCCTCCCTCCCTCCCTCCCTCCCTCCCTCCTCCCTCACCTCCCTCCCTCTCCTCCCTCCCTCCCTCCATCCCTCCCTCCTCCCTCCCTTCCCTCCCTCCCTCCCGTCCCTCCTCTCCTCTTACTACATCACAACACATATTCCCAGTCCCGCCACACATCCCTTCCCCTCCTCCTCCCTCCTCCCTCCTCCCTCCTCCCCTCCTCCCTCCTCTCCCTCCTCCCATCCTCCCTCCTCCCTCCTTCTCCTCCCTCCTTTCCCTCCTCCCTCCTCCCTCCTCCCTCCGCCACTTCCTAATCCTCCTTCCCTCCGGCCCTACCTCCCTCCTCCTCACTCAACCGCCCTCCTCCCTCCACCGCTCCCCCTTCCTCCCTCACTCCCTCCTCCTCCTCCCTTCCTCCTCCTCCTCCCTCCATCCCCCCTCTCCTCCTCTCCTCACCTCCTCCATTCCTTCCTCCCCCATCCGCCAATCCTCCGCCGCCCCCTCGCTCCTCCTACCTCCATCCTCCTCCTTCCTCCCCTCCTCCTCTCTCCTCCTCTGTCCACCTCCTCCTTGGTCCTTCCATCCGTCTCCTCCCTCCTTCTTCACATCTGACTGGCGGACTTCCGACACCCCACGCGAGGATCAAGGCCTTTCGGGCGACGCCAGACCCTCTCTTCGGCCACCCCTCCTGCAACCCTCCTCCTCTCCCCTCCTCCCCTCCACCTCCTCCTCCTCCTCCTCGCCTCGCTCCTTCTCCTCATCCTCCGCCTCCTCCTCTTCCTCCTCCTCCTCCTCCTCTTCAAATTCCTCCTTCTCCCACCACCCCCTTGTCCTACTCCCCTCCTTCTCCTCCTCCTCCTCCTCCTCCTCCTCCTCCTCTTCCTCCTCCTGCTCATTCTGAGGACTCCGAATCCCAGGCTCGAGGATCGAGGCTTTCGGGCGTCGCCGGAGCCCTCTCTTCGGCTATCCTCCTGCTCCTCCTGCTCCTCCTCCTCCTCCTACTCCTCCTCCTCCTCTTCCTCCTCCTCCTCCTCTCTCTCTACCGCCTCCTCCCCTCCTCCTCCTCCTCCTCCTCCTACCTTCCTCCTCCTCCTCCTCCCCCCTCCTCCCCCTCCTCCTCCTCCCCCTCCTGCTCCAACCTCCACCTCCACGCTCCTCCTCCCTCCTCCTCCCTCCTCCTCCATGGCCCCGCAGTGAGGAGAGGATACCCCCATATCCTCCACCTGCGTGCGGGGTCGGTGGCGGGCGGCCCAGGCGGGCTGCCCTGCGCTGCTCTCGGCGGAGGCGGCGAGGAGCGCCGAGGAGGAGGAAGAGGAATGGAAGACGACGTCGCCCCCGTGCCTGCTGGCGGAGCCGCATCAAGTGGGCAGCGACGGCAGAGACCGAGTGGAGGAGAAGACGAAGGGAGGATGGATGTGGAGGGGAGCTCTCAACCTGCATCCCAATATCGGGCGAGGGTCTGGGCCGTCGACGTGCAAGGAGCGTCCGCGCGACCAGCTTCCTGCAGGTCCTGTGGACTGGTCTTCGAGGCGGGCGAGTTGCGCCTGTGTACGTGGGGCAACCGGACATGCTCGCGCTGGACGTGCCCCACTTGTTTGCAGGGTCGCGTGCCGCAAGGTGCCGAATTCCGACCTCATGGCAGAGGCGATGACACGAGTGTCGCCGCGGCGCGTGTGCAGACAGCAGTCGCCGAGCCCCAGGCCAGCAACGCAGGAGGCGCTGGGGGCTCGCGGCCGGCGCCGCCAGAACAGCTTGTCCAACATCCAGCCTGGGACGACAACGTGCTGCCTGGCCGACATTGGTGGGCGAGATTGCCTTGGAACGATTTGTTGACGACCGGAGCCACCACTTACGTGCAGATCCCAGACAGACTACGAGGCGCGGTCCTCCAGGCGAGGCGGAAGACGCTGGAGATACTTCGGAGTGCCCGGGAACATGGGGAAGCGAAGGAGGAGTGGAAACTGTTCTTGGTGCTGGACCTCCTACTCCTCAGCACCAGCAGCGAGGGTGCGAGGAGCGCCTTGCGTGGTTCTGGGGGGCGCAGTGGGAGGCACTGTGGACATCCGTGCGCCACGGGCGGAAGATCCCAATGGCTGCCGCCAGGCATGGTGACAAGCTGAAGGCGGCGCGGATCCACACCCTGGCAGCAGCTGGAGAGGAAGGGCGAGCACTACGGGCCACTGCCAACAGCAAACTGGCGCCCCGCACCCCGGAAACGCTGACGAAGATCAAGAAGTGCTTCCCTCCGACGGCTCTGCCCGCGCCGTCGGCGGAAGGTATCCCGCACCCTTCGCAAGAGACACTCGAGAAAGTCCAGGAGGAGACGGCGCGCCTGCTCCGGAAGCCACCCCGCCTCTCAGCGCCGGGGCTTCTAGGCAGCCGCTTGGAGCACTTAGCAGACGCGAAAATGTGTTCCGAAACCCTGGGCTGGCTCACCGAAGCTGTCTCGTGGATCGCCTTTGGCATGCTCCCGGGGGAGGCTGTGGGTGTTCTCCGGACCGGGGAGGTCACGGCGCTGCGCAAGGGAGACGACGACGTGCGACCGCTCATCGTGGGATCGACGGTGCGACGCCTGGGTCTGCGAGCGCTGGCGCGGACCCGGAAGGAGCAGCTCCGGGACGCAGCCGGGCACAGGCAGTACGGGGTCGGGAGGTCCGGCGGCACCGAGCTCCTGCTGCGGAAACTGGAGGCGCAGGCAGAAACCAGGCCGACAGCAGTTTTCCTGAAGGTGGACGTGGAGGCCGCCTTTCCCTCGCTGGAACGAGCGCCCGCCATAGCGGCAATGGCGGAGCGAGACGAGGTGGTCGCGACGGCCCTGCTCGCTTGGTACGGACAGCCAGCGAGGCACCTCTGGCGCGACGCCGGGGGGCTTTTCCACCCGCTTGACAACACGAGGGGCTTCGACCAGGGGGACCCGCTCTCGCCCGCGGCCTACTCCGCGGCGCAGAGAGTAGCTCTGGACGGCTTTCAGACCGAGCTGCTCCGCCTGGACCCGCAAGCGAAGCTCTACAGCTACCTGGACGACACCTACCTGGTGGTAGACGCCGCGCTGGCCGCGCTCGCCTTGGAAGCCTCCCAGCGGGCGCTCCACCCCCTCGGGCTGAAGCTGAAGCTGGCGAAGACGGCCGCCTGGTCCCCAGCCGGGCGCGCCGTGCTCACGCAGGACCTGCAGGCGAGCTGGGTGCCGAGCCTGCCTGTGCTCGGCAAGCACCTGCGGCCTCCGGGAGACGCCGAGAGCAGCGCGCCCGCCGCCCTAGGGGTGCCGGCGAACAGCTTGTCCGAGGCTGGGCGGAAGCTAGAGACGCTCTGGAGGGAGCTGAAGAAGCTGCAAAAGGCCGGACTCAAGAAGCAGGCAGCGGCAGCCCTCCTGCGCGCTTACGCGGGCCCGGCGAGCCAGCACTCCTTGCGGATGGAGCTCGCCCAGGACTCCGCGACGCAGCAGTACGACGATCTGCTGACGGGCTGCTGGAGGGACCTCCTGGAACGGGACCTCGACGAAGCGGCCGTGGAGTTCCTGGGCCTCCCGGCCAGGTTTGGAGGCCTCGGCGCGCAGCTGGCGGGCACGCGGCGCCACGCGGCCTTCTTCGCCTCCTGGTCAGCCGCGGCGCAGGAGGTCGCAGAGGACCAGGGCAACGCGGCGCTGGCTGACTGCCTGGAGCGGCTGCCGCGGGCGGCCCAGCAGCTGGAAACGGCGCGGCGCGGACTGCAGGGCCAGGGGCTCGAGCTCGCGCCGGGGGGCGACTTCGCGACTGCGCTGCAGACGCCCCTGAAGCAAGGCTTGGCCACGGAGAAGGTGAAAAGGACCCAGCGCGCAGCTCTGCTGCGACGCTTGCCCCCTCCCCGACAGGCCGAGCTGCGGGGCGCAGCCGGAAGCGGCAGCGCGGCCTTTCTTGCCTACCCGGAGGACGACCTCTGCTCCCTCGAAAACGCGCTCTGGCAGGCAGGGACGCGGCGGCGGCTGCAGCTTCCGCGCGCCGAGCTCAGCCAGCGGGAGCTAGCGACCGCGCCGGCCGCCTGCTGCCTGCGCGCTGCCGACGGCGCTGGCTGCCACGGGGCACTAGACGACGGCGGTTACCATGCCCTGACCTGCCAGGTGGGCGTGGGCGTGGTGGCGCGACACGGGGGCCTCAACCGGAGGGTCGGGGGTCTCCTCCACCGCTGGCGCGGCGAGCGGCCCCTCCTTGAGCAGAGAGTGCCGACTTGGGACCGCCAGCACCCCGACGGCAGACTCGAGCGCGCGATCCTGGACCTGCAGTACCAGGACGACGACGGCACCTACTGGCTCGACGTCTCCGTCCGCCACCCTGCAGCCGGCACGCAGGCCGAGCTGCGGCTGGCCGCGCGCCGGGACGGCGAGGCCAGCAGGCGCGGCGAGCGGGAGAAGCACGCCCGCTACCCCGGCGACCGGCTGACGCCCTTCGTCCTCGAGGCGGGGGGGCGGCTCGGCGCCGAGGGCCGCCTCT